GAAACTGCTACACAACAGAGGTTACGACTGGAGGAAAGAGGAATTCAGCTGTTTGTGTACTAGTTACAAGCCGTATGGAAAAGGGTAAAGTTAGGTCTTTATACCACATACAAAATTAAGTGAAACAGAATTTGCAAACTTAAAGAGCTAAAACTGTAAATCTCTTAAAATCTTCATGACTGGCTTTGGCAGTGATTACTGGGTGTGTCAATAGCATGGCTATTAAGAGAAAAGAATAAACTGTACTTCATCAAGGTTAAACCATTCAGAATCAAAAGACGATAGCAAGAGAATAGAAACACAGTGCAGAAAATGGAAGTAAATACTTGTTAATCATTTTATCAGAATATTAATATCCAGAATTAATGAAGAACTCCCACACTCAACAGCAATTTTTAAAAATCCAATTAAAAACAGGCAAATAACTTGAATCAACATTTCTCTGAAGAAGACAATACACAAACAGGCGATAAACATGTAAAATGGTGCCTTACAACATTAATGATCAGGGAAATGCAAGTCAACACTGAGATAAGATACCACTTCACAGCCATTAGACAGCTGTTACTCAAAAACAAAAACAGAAATGTTAGTGAGGATGTGTAGAAATGGGAATCCTTCTCATAGCCAGTGGGACTGTAAAATGATACAACCATTGTAGAAAATTGCTTGGAAGTTAGAGAATTATTGTATGATGCAGTAATCCCACTTGTGGGTTTATATCCAAAAGAACTGAAAGCGGGGTGTGAGCAGATACTTGCACAGCAGTGTTCACAGCCACGTTACACACAGTAGTCAGAACTGGAAACCACCTTGTCTTAGTCAGCTTTCTATTGCTGCGAAGAGACATCATGACCATTGCAATGCTTACAAAAGAAAACATTTAATTGGGGATGGCTTATAGTTTCAGAGGTTTAGTTCTTTGTCATCAGGGAGCATGGTGGCATGCAGGCAGACATGAGGCTGGAGAATTTGTAGCTGAGAGTTCTACATCCCTATCTGCAGGCGGCAGGAAGAGAGTGGCACTGGACCTAACAGTGAGTTCCAGGACAAGCCAGGGCTACACAGAGAAACCCTGCCTCAAAAAAAACAAGAAGACAGCAGTGATGGTTGCATAATATGATAAGTTACATGATTGTGTGTTTATAAGCATTGATTAATATATATCTTACTATATTAGAAACTTGATTGTTCTATATTTTGTGTGTGTGTGATATATGTGGAGTGTGCTGGTGTGTATGCGTACGCATGCAACATGGAGGCCAGTGGAGGATGTCACGTTCTCCATCTTATATTATTATTTTTTTTAAATAATAATTTAGTCTGGTGGTGGTGACGCACACCTTTAATCCCAGAACTTGAGAGGCAGAAGCAGGCACATCTTTGAGTTTGAGGCCAGCCCGGTCTATAGAGTAAGTTCCAGGACAGCCAGAACTACACAGAGAAACCCTGTCTCAAAACAAAATCATCGTCATAATAATAATTTTATAAACATTATTATAAAAATCCTGGAAATAAATAAAAACATCAGGCACCAAAATTAACCAGACGCAAACTCAGTGAACTTCTATCCAGTTAGAGCAGGCACTCTGAACCAAAGCTGTGGAGCTGTGCATTAAATTTTACACTTTCATCACCCCTTTGGCAGCTCACATAAGTTGCACACTCTCAGCCGTAGTGATAGGGAGCGCCGTTTTTCCTACTACTCAGTCGGCAGAAGCAGAAGGGTCTCTGAGTTCAAAGCCTGCCTGGTCTACATAGTGAGATTTAGGACAGCCAGGGCTACACAGAGAAACCCTGTCTCAAATAAAGCAAAGCAAAACAAAATTCTACACTTTCATTTGATGATATAGTGTATGTATTCATTTATCAACATCAAAAAAAATCCATGAGAGAGTTACCATATATCCTCTCTCATGGCACATGTCCAAAGAAATAAATGCATTCCTTTGAGGAAGTGCATCATCTTGAACATGGAGCTTCCTTCCCCCGCCCCAGGGCTGGAAACCAGCAAGCTGCAGTGACCCCACCCCACCCCCATCTTTGCCCAGACTCAGTGCTGGAACTACAGGTACAGGCGGAACCTCCCTATTCGGATGCTCATATTTGTGTCGGCCGAGGAGATGGCTAGGGATTGGGGGTTAAAAGCTACTTGCAGCCAAGCCTGATGACCTAAATTCAATCCCTGGGACCTGCACATTAGTAAGAAAAAAGTGACCCCTGAATTTGCCCTCTGCCCTCTGCCTGTGCATTGTGACACACACATGATCTGCATAAGCACAGGAATGTTTTAAAAAGCTGCAGCTTTGATTGTAATTCCTCCTCTGAAGTTACTTAAGAGAAGTTTTACAGCTGGGCACAGTGGTGCGTGCCTGTAATCCCAGCACTCAGGGAGGCAGAGGAAGGTGGATCACTGTGAGTTTGAGGCCAGCCTGGTCTACAGATCGAGTCCGGGACAGCCAGGGCTATACAGAGAAACCCTCTTTCGAAAAAGAAGACAGACAGACAGACAGACAGAGGTGGGGGAAAGAGGTTTTATTTTTTCTTGTTTTTTTGTTTGTTTGTTTGTTTTCGGGGGGAGAGGATTTTTATTTTGTTTTTGTGAGGCAGTGTCTCACTATGTAGCTTTGGCTGGCCTAGAACTCTATGTAGACCAGGCTGGCCTCAAAGTCACAAAAATCTACCTGCCTCTGCCTCCTGAGTGTTGGCCAGTCAGGTGTGGTGGCATAGATCTGTAATCCCAGCACTCAGGGAGGCAAGTGGATCACTGTGAGTTCAGCCTTGTCTACAAAGCAAGTCCAGGACATCCAAGGCTACACAGAGAAACCCTGTCTGGGGGAAGGGGAAACCTTGTGTCATCATACCTAAGATCCTGTTTGGGTTTTTGTTTGTTTGTTTTTTATGTGCGTTGGTGTTTTGCCTACCTGTGTGTCTGTATGAGGAAGTCATACAGACTGCCAGCTGGAGTCACAGACATGTGTGAGTTGCCATGTGGATGCTGGGAATTGAATCCAGTTCCTCAGAAAGAGTAGCCAGCGCTCTTAACCACTGAGCCATCTCTTCAGCCCAGATCTTGTCTTATTTTGTTCTTACTTTTATTGTTCATATTTTACTTTATGGCATTGTGGTCAAAAAGTATAATGTAAGTTGTTCTGTACAGTTTTTCCTCATTTAAAAATGTAATATTTTATATTATAAATGTGTATTTTTAAAATTTGTAACAGACCAAAGTCCACTAATTAAAGACATTTGTGGGACGGGAGAGAGGCTTTGCTGCTCCTCTAGAAGACCTGAGTTCAGTTCCTTGCACATCAGGTGGATCACAAGCACCTGTAACTCCAGCTCCAGAGCTCCAACACCCTCTTCTAATCTCCATGGAAACTTGCACATGTCTCTCACACACACATTTAAAAAAAAGTTAAAGAAAATAAAACTTTTTACCAGCATTTGGGAAGCTTAGGAAGGAGGGCTGTGGGTTTGAGGCCTGCCTGTGTTACATAAAAAGACATGTCAAGAAAAAAAATATTGAAGTTGGGAGTAGCAGCATGTGCCTTTAAATGCCAAAAACACCTGGGTGGGGCACAGAGGAAGGTGAGTCCTAAGTGGATGGAAAGAGGGTTAGTGCTTATGCAGTCTGGAAGGCTGTCACGCAGGAATTCTTTCAGCGTGTTTGCGAGCAAACCTAAAGTTATTTTAAAAAACAAGGTTTTACTTAATTTCATTTTTATTTTCTGTATATGAGTGTTTTGCCTACATGCATATATGTTCACTATACATGCCTAGTGCCTGCAGAAACCAGGGGTGGGGTGTTGGATCCCTTGGAACTAGAGCTGCTGTGTTGGTGCCGGAAACATACCACTGAGCCCTCTCTCCAACCCCCATTCATCATTTATCTACTTACTTTGAAACGAGATAGCACTGTGTAACCCTGACTGTTACGGAATTTGCTATGCAGACCAGGCTGGCCTCAAACTCAGAGATCCGCCTGCGTCTGCCTCCCACATTCTGGGGTTAAAGGCTGTGCTCCCACCCTCGGCAGGTACTTTAAATTATTTGGGTTTGTGGTTTTATGTGCAGACATGCACGTGGGTGCCATTGTGCTCATGTAGAAATCAAAAGGCAACTTGCAGATGTGCTCTCCTTCCATCATTTGGGCCCCAGGGTCAAACTCACATTGTCAGGTTTGCTAGTAAGTGCCTTTGTGAGCAGAGTCATCCTGTTCCGCCCTGCAACACACACATTTTAACATCCTTAGTAGTGTGTGTGTGTGTGTGTGTGTGTGTGTGTGTGTGTTGTTGTTGTTGTTGTTGTTGTTGCTCACGTATTTGTAAAACAAACAGACAGCTTGCTGTCTTGCTCAGGCCGGCCTCCAGCTGGTGGTCACCCTATTGCCTCCGTCTCTCGAGGGCTGGGATTGCAGGTCTGCACCACATGCCCAGAGCCTCGGTAATTGTTTTTTGCAATTTATTTTTATTGTTTTTAATTATATGTATGTTTCTGTATGTGGGTGTGTGCACAAAAGTGCAGGTGCTAACGGAGATCAGAGGTGTAAGATGCCCTTGGAGCTAGAGTTACAGGCGGCCGTCACCAAGGGCACACCAAGTGAACTCGGGTCCTCTGGAAGATCAGCACATGCAGTTAACTGCCGAGCGTCTTCTCAGCCCTCCGCAGTGTTGAACACAGTGTAAACTGAAGAACGCTCCTTGATCTGAAGCTTCTGTGTAGCATATCATTCTCTCCAGCTTCATTGTGATGTCTAATCCAGGGATGATTTGTTAACCACCAAGCATGAGACAGAGTTAGACTGAGTACTCTCGGCTCTGAATGGATTCCCTATGTCTCTGAGACCAGGAAGTACTCTCCGGGCGAGTCCCACGGTACAGAGAGCCCTGTGTGCCCTGCCTTAGCTACCTGTCGCAATTGCTAGAGCAGTGATCCCAGAGCCTTCCTCGAAATAACAGATTCCTCCTTTCTGTTTATCTCCTTCTTGCTTCACAAAGGCCTAAGGATGAGATGTTTCTAAAGCAACTTTCCAGCGGCTACGTGGTGGAAAAGGACCATGATGCTCCCCTTTTCTACAGAGAAGAAGGAAACAAAAAATTTCAGGAGAAGGACTATACAGGCGCTGCAGTGCTGTATTCTAAGGTACCTGCGTCCTGCCACGCAGTAAGCAAGGCACATCCTGCAGAAGAAAGTCACTGAATTTCAGAGCCCAAGGGGTGTTGTTTTCTTTGTTGTTGCTTGTCTGTAGTTTGGATTAGATTTGAGGGAAAAACAGTGGAATTCTGTTGTTGATTATATTCTCAAACAGAAGATAATTTATATGTCCTGAATATTGGCAGACTTCTTCCCATATTTCTTTTTTTTTAATAATTTATTTAATTTTATGTGTATTAATATGAAGGTGTCAGATCCCTTGGAACTGGAATCACAGAGAGCTGCCATGTGGTTGCTGGGAATTGAACCGGGGTGCTTTAGAATCGCAGACGGTGCTCTTAACCACTGAGCCATCTCCCCTCCCACCCCCCACATATTTCTTAAGACCCACAACAGCTTCAGCTTATTGGCCCTTTACCCTGATTTGCCTGATTTAGTTCTCACTGACTTGTGCTCCATTTTTGAAGAACTGATGAAAGTTTTAGCTTGATAGTCCTAATTTAGTGAACAGCTGGGTTTTTGGCTAGTCACCACGCTAGCTTACAACCAGAATGACTTCAGCTGAACATGGTGGCACTCGCCTTTAGTCCCAGCACTCAGGAGGCAGAGGCAGGTGGATCTCTGTGAGTTCAAGGCCAGCCTGGTCTGCATAGCAAATTTCAGCCCAGCCAAGGTATGTAGTGAGACTACATAAAAGATTGAAGTTAGAAAATGAGTGTGTTTGCCATCGCCCAGGCAAACTAGGTTTTGTTGGTCATCTGTTAACACATTACTATTAGAAGCGATCAACAGATACTTTACTTTACACTAACCCTGGCCAAGCCAAATTTTTTTATTTTATGCATAATGTGGTTTTGCCTACATGTATGTCTGTGTAGCAGGTGCCTGAGGAGGCCAGAAAAGGACATCATTTTCCCTGGAACTAGAGTTACAGGTTGTGTGTGGGTTCTGGGAATCAAACTCGTATCCTCTAGAAGAACAGCCAGTGTTCTTTTGTCTGTCTGTCTGTCTGTCTGTTTGTTTTAGTTTCCCTGTGTGGCCTTGGCTTCCCTAGATTCACTTTATAGACCAGACTGGCCTTGAACTCACAGAGAACCACCAGCCTTTACCTCCCAGAGTGCTGGGATTACAGGCATGCACGACCATGCCTGGCCAGCCAGTGTTCACAGATGGTTGTGAGCCATCATGTGGTTGCTGGGAATTGAACTCAGGATCTCTGAAAGAGCAGTCAAGTGCTTGTAACCACTGAGTCATCTCTGCAGCCCTAGCAAGCTAGATCTTGAAGCTGAATCATGACTTTTAACACTGTGGTACTCTTACTGACCTGCTTCCATTGGGGCCTGCCAGAGTGCGCCAGAAGAGTCAAACAGTTCATGAGTGGGGAGTGAGGATTGAAAGAAAACCAAAAAATAACACTCTACACACGAGATCAGTTCAAGAGGGTTGCCATTATAAACTGTCATGCCTGGTTTATTCCACAATTCCTTTTTATGGTCAGAGCAAAGCGCCTCAGTACAGTGAAGGAGTTCATCAAGAACTCAAACTTGTTTACCTCAAAAGGAAGTGAACTTGGCAAAACATCCTGCCTATCCCTGTCTCTAGGTGAAGGCCAAGGTGAAAACATGTTTTTCGCTGAGAACTCAATAATAAAGCAGCCTGACAAACAAGCAGCTTTCCACAGGTGCTCTGAGAAAATTGCTTCTATTGTGTTTTCAGATATCTATATGGGCTTAAAGCAAGACATGTCAAACTCTTGATCTGTGGTTTTATACATTAAAAAATGGGGTGAGCCCAGCATGTTGGCACACTGTTATAATCCAGGTTTCAGGGAGAAAGGAAGATTAGGAGTTGAAGGCCAATCTTAGCTTTGTAACAAGCTTGAAGCTAGCCTGGGCTGCATGAGACCCTGTCCAGGAGGGGAGAAAGAAATGTCAAGTAGTGAAAGTGAGGTGTAGCTCCCTGGTACACCATTTGCCCAGCATGCCCGAGGCTCAAGGTCTGGTTCCCAGCACTGGACTTGGGAGTGGTAGATCTGTCCAGCACCTGTAAATATTGAACACTTGGAATTAATTTTCAAAAAAAAAAAAAAAAGCTACAACAGTCATTCTGCAAACATGTAAAAGCCCTACTTTGTAATGGTATAATACAGAATTTAGCTTCAGTTTTCTGCCTTTACTCCCTAAACATTATCCCATAGAAAGATGTTGAGTGAAATAAGAAAGGAGTGGCTGGAGAATGCTCAGGGCTTGAGCACTTGCTGCTCTTGCAAAGACCATGGCCAGGTTGTGGGTCTTCCCACTTCAGGGGACCCCAAGCCCTCTTCTGGCCTCCACAGGCACCCACACTCACACCTGCACATAGCTTTACAAATAAAATAAATCTTTTTAAATGGGCTTTAGAATGAGTTTGACATCATTGGGCCACATAAGACCCTGTCGCAAGGAGAAAAAGGATGAAGGTTTGCCGTGGATGGAGAGGGAGATGCACTTCCTATTTCATGAAACTGGTATTTTGGTGATTACGGTACTTTGCAATTTTATAGAGAGCTGCTATTTTCTTTCTTTTTTTAAAAGTAATGCTTGTTGTTTTTGTCTGTAAAAGTAATAAATGTTACTTTGGAAAATATAGAGAAGTATAAAGAGTAAAAAAAAAAAGTCATAACCAGTGATAAGTACTGCTAACGTTTCTGCTTCTGCCCGGCCAGCCAGAGCTTTTCCTGTGAGAATGTGGTTTTCTTTTACAAAATTGGGATAATGCTGCACTTACTGCTTTGTAACCTGCTCTTTCCCTTCAACAATTTATTGTACCCATTTTCTCACAGTATTAAATTTCCTGCTCCAAGTAATTTTCCATAGCTAACTCAGTGTTCTATTACAGAGAAGAAATGTGTTTAATTTAAGATCTAATATTGGCATATTATTTGGCATTATGATGCTATAATAAGCCTCTTTTGTATAAATACTTATATACAACTGATTTTTTGTTTTGGATTAATTAGTGAATGGGTAAAGGGCTGGGTCAAAGGGAATATTTTCAAGCTTTTGATGCTGGTGCTGAATTGTCCTCCAGGAAGGAACTAGTTAATGTCCATTCTGACAGAATATGGGAATGTTCTTTTCTCCATATGTTAAGGAACACTGGTTATTATTATATATTAATACTAATATTCTGTTAGTATTATACATTTATTTTGGGAATAGAAAATATATTCATATAATTAAATTTCAAAAGTTACAAAAGTATATACTGTGGTTCCTTTTCCTGACCCTCTAGTCATTTCATCTATCCCCATAACCTATAATGCTGTATATTAAGGGGTATATAGGTGAATAAAAACAGCCTAATATAAGTGGCATTAACCTCCAGTTACTTGAGAACTGAGGCAGGAAGTCATGAATCCAGGAGCGAGTGTGGAAAGCATAGAAACTCAAGATGGTCTCACACTCTTACGTAACTAAGCCTCATCCTCCTGCCTCCATTTTCCAAGGTTGGGAATTACAGGTGGACACCACCATGCCCAGCTCAATCATTCTTTTCAGTATACAAAGAATATTAATCATGTACATTGTGATATGTATCATGTTTTTAATATATATACACTTATCATGTATGTCATTGTGCCTTGTTCAGCTTCATCTCTTGCTGCCATTTTGTATTCCTCTTCTTTTTCTTTACTGGTCCTGACCCCTCAAATATCCCCACCCCCTGTTTTTTCTTTTTCGAGGTGCTAAGAAAAAAAACACAGGTCTTTCTGAATTCTAGGCACAAGTTGTACCACTGAGCTGTATTGCTAGCTTTTCTTCAGCTTTTTTCAGATCCTAGCCCTTAAAAAATATGATTAAAAATAGGACTGGACTGGGCATGATAATCATACTGTAGTCCCAGCACTCAGGAGGCAGAGGCAGGAGGATCAAAAGTTCAAGGTTGGGGTTGAGCTGGAGAGATGGCTTACCAGGTAAAAGTATGCTCTGCTCTCATAGAAGACATGAATTTATTCAGCATTTATGACCTCTAGAGTTTTGTTTTTGTGGGGTTTTGTTTTGGTTTGGTTTTTCTTTTAATTACTTATTTGTTTACTTATTTATGTTTGAGACTGGTTCCACATTGCCAATTATAATCTTCAACTTTGTAACAGAACGGGCTGAGGTTAGGGCATGTGCCACCATGTAACATCTGGATTTTTTATTGTAGTTAGAAAGGGATTCCTCCGGGCTGGAGAGATGGCTCACAGGTAAAGAGCACTGGCTGTTCTTCCAAAGGTCCTGGGTTCAATTCCCAGCCACCGCATGGTGGCTCACAACTGTCTGTAATGAGATCTGGTTCCCTCTTCTGTCATGCAGGATGAAGCCAGAACATTGTATACATAATAAATAAATAAATCATAAAAAAAAGAAGAAAGGGATTCCTCCACCATTACTTTTGACTCTTCATAGTTACCTCCAGAGTTATTACACTTTCATTTGTTACAGTAAGGGTTTGATCCACTTACACTAGGCCTCGCACAGGCCTGTAATTCCAGCTACTTGAGAAGTTGAGGCAAGTGGATCGTGAATTCAAAGTCAGCCTCGGTGAATTGGTGGAAGTGGCAAAGGCTGTGTCTGAAGCTGCAGTTTTCAAAGACTTAGATCTTTATTTCCTCATTCATGTCCGAGGTTTGCTGAAGGGAAGTAGATGGAGCAGAACGGTTCAGTACTTTTTCCCACTTCAACTCAGTCTTCTGTAGTAGATCCCTAGTTATCTAAGATTGGAGATTGTTCCTATGAGCGGCTCATTCTTTTTCAGGGAGTGTCACATTCGAGGCCTAACACCGAAGATATTTCACTGTGCTATGCCAATCGCTCTGCAGCCCTCTTCCGTCTGGGTCAGTATGAAGTAAGTATTGAGGTACCTGGTGTCCTGCCTGCAGCTCCAGTGGACGATGAGGTCTTCTGTTCTTCTGCATACACTGAAATCAGGTAGTGTAGAAACACTCACATCCATCCAGACTCATACTTTCTTGACTCATGTCACCTCTCACAGGTGACCAGGAAGAATAGTTAGTTAACAAGAATAAGCTATGGCACTCTCCCAGGCCATGGACTGGATCCAATAGTCAAGCACTTCTGTGTCCATATCAGCCAGATGTGTTGCTAATTGGTACTTTAGATTCCAAGTGTGTCCAGATACTAGTTTGTTCATTTGTTTCTTCTACATAGCAGGTCACAGGAACTGGAGAGATGGCTTGGTGGTTAAGGGCACCGCTGCTCTTCCAGTTGACCTAGGTTTTATTCCCAGTACCCACATGGCAGCTCCCAACTGGCTATAACTCCATTTCCAAGGGGTCTAATCTCCTGTTCTGGCCTCTGCAGGCACAAGGCCCAGAGGTGTTGTACAGACACATGTGCAAAATACATATGCAAAACACATGCAAATAAAACAACAGAAGATGTTAAATAAGTAGGGCATGCTTGAGCTTACCCCTCTGCTGGTACAGCTCTGCAGTAAGCATGGCCGGTGTGAAAGGAGAAGGTGCCCAGGACCGCCTGTGAGCACCAGCGAGGCAGCTTGACCCCCACTGGCTGCAACAACAAAAAACAGCTATGAAGCATGGTGTCTCTGGAGTTTAAGTCAAGAAAAGACAAAAATCAGATCTATGGCCGGGCAGTGGCACGGGCCTTTAATTCCAGCACTCGGGAGGCAGAGACAGGCGAATCTCTGTGAGATTAAGGCCAGCCTGGTTTACAGAGTAAAATTTAGAACAACCAAGGCTACACAGAGAAACCTTGTCTCAAAAAACCAAACAAACAAAAAGAAAAAAAACAAAAAATCAGATGTGTGTTTAAGGAGGATAGCTGTGAGTCCTCTGTAATGTGTAGTGGAGAGGCCTAAGGAAAGGCTCTAAAGATCATTCCACTCATGTACGGATTCTACACACGAGAGTTAAGGACTGTTGGAATAGTTGCATGTTAATACTCACTGCCCTTCACATTAAAATAGAAGAGCAAAGATCTCTCTGGGCATGGTGATGCACAGTTATAACCCTAGCACGGTGAAGGCTAAAGCATGCTATGCATTTGTGGCTAGCCTGGGCTTCATAGTCAGTGCTGGCCAGTCAGAGCTTCTGCTAAATATGGAAAAACAAAAATCCAATAAATTGGAATTTTTCCCTTTTTTTTTTTTTCCTTGAGCAAGATGTCTGTGATTTTCTGTTCTGAAGGCTACAGAACCTAGAAAAGCTGCCACTGCTGCTGCTGACACACAGCACACTGCAGATTTTGACTATATGTATATAAGTTTGAAATTTTGGGATGCTTTAGCTGTGCTGTCACCTTTGGAAAAAGTATCCCAGTTTACCATGTTAAATTGGCACTGTACAGAAATTAGCGGCCATATTAATCTTGACACATTAACTTCATTTTTCAATTTATACGGAAGTAATGGGCTGTATTAAATACTCAGTTTTATTTACATGGGTTTGATTATAGAGACTAGCAAAGTATTCTGTAAATAATGAAAAAAAGATCCAAGAATCTGGGTCCGAAGGAAGAAAGGCTCACTCCTAAGGACAAATTTAGAAAAACTCGATCATGCATCCCTTTATCACCTCCTCCTTCTGTAGATGATAACCATTTATTGAACATATCCGGGAGTTTCTTTCTTCACTTTAGATATATTACTTTATCTCATCCCTAAAATGACCTGTTGATGGTCATCTTTTTCATCTGAGAAAACAAAGACATTGAAAAATTAACTTGCTTGCATAGGACCACACCTAGCCTCTTACTCACTCATAGTGAGTACACATTTCTTTGGCTTCAAAGTCCTTTATGGGAGGGGCTGGGGTTCTAGAGAAGAAGCTCACTCTATAGAGCAGGCTGGCCTCAGACCCACAGGGATCTGCTGGTCCCACCAAGTGCTGGAATTCAATGCACGACCAGCAAGGTCTGCCTCAATTCCCTACAACTTCCTAAGACTTTTTTCCTCTTAAAAAAAAAAAAAAAAATGGAACTGTTGAGCTAATCATGGTGAGACAGACTTAATCTTTAATCTCAGCACTTGGGAGGCAGAAACAGCTTTATGCATTCGGGCAGCCTGATCTTCATAGAGTTCCATGTCCACCAAGGCTATATGGCAAAACTTTGTCTCAAACAAACAAGCCAGAACTGCTCAATAAGAAAAAGACATAATACTATAAATAAGTATTACTGTCACTCAGTTAAAATCCCCAGCATAAGGTAGAAAGGAGGGGAGGGAATAGGAAAGGAAAAAGGAAGAGAGAAAAAGGAAAGATCACAGAGCGAGCAGAGGACTTAAGGCCTAAGCTCTCAGTTGAAGTTGTGCACTTGTTTTTTTTAATCCTTTTTAAAATTTTATATTAATTACAGTTTTCACTTTGCATCCCAGCTGTAGCCCCCTCCTGATTCCCTCCCAATTCTACCCTCCCTCCCTGAAGCTGTGCACTCTTAATGACCGTTTCCATGCCTGTGCGTCTTCAGTTTCCAGTACATGGTGAAGAGTAGAGACCACCCTGGAATTTTCCTCTTTGTTTCAGGCATGTCTTAAAGACATAGTGAGAGCAGGCGTGCATGGGCTCCCTGAAAGACTGCAACCCAAGATGATGTTACGTAAGGCAGAATGCCTAGTGAACCTGGGGAGACCACAGGAGGCAAGACAAGCCATCAGTGATCTTGAAAGCAACCTCGCCGCCAAGCCAAGCCTGGGACTCTCCTCCCATAAGATCCTGCAGAGGAACCTCGAACATCTGAAAATGAAGATACAAGAGAAGGAGAATCTCCCAGAAGCCTTCCCTGCAGCCCTCACCAAAGCCTTTGAGGAGATGGCCCTGGAGGAGGAGAACAAACAGATTTCTGGGGCATCGCTCTCTGTCGGCTTATGCACAGACCCTTTGAAAGGCCGCCATCTAGTTGCCACAAAAGACATTCTCCCAGGGGAACTCCTGCTGAAGGAAGATGCTTTTGTAAGTGTCCTTATCCCAGGAGAAATGCCACCATTGCGTCATGGCCCACAAAACAAGTGGGATACCGGAGTTAGCAGTGGCGACCTCTGTTGTCACCGCTGTCTGAAGCACACTTTGGCCACAGTGCCCTGTGGAGGCTGCAGCTATGCCAGGTATTGCAGCCAGGAATGTATGCAGCAGGCGTGGGAGCACTACCACAGCACAGAGTGTTCTCTAGGGGCGCTGCTCCTCACACTTGGGGTCTTCTGCCATGTTGCCCTGAGGGTGACTCTTCTAGCCAGATTTGAAGAGGTTGACAGAGTTGTCAGGATGCTTTATGACGAGACTAGCAACAAAGACATCTGTTCACCTGAAAACAGGAACCTGGTCCAGACAGTTAACTACACAAACCATGGGGAGAGTGAAGAGAATGCCAAAACAGGTGAAACCCCAATTCCCGGCTGTAATGTCAGTGGGAAGTATGAAAGCAATTATAATGCTGTCTTCAACCTTCTGCCCCATACTGAAAAACACAGCCCGGAACGCAAATTCATGTGCGCCGTCAGTGTCGCTGCGCTGTGCAGGCAGCTCAGAGCGCAAACCCGGGGCTTCAAGTCCTCCAAGCCGAAAGCAGTGACTCCGGGCTTGTGTGCAGATTTGACTGTTTGGGGAGTAGCCATGCTGCGACACATGCTGCAGCTGCAGTGTAATGCCCAGGCGATAACCTCCCTGTGGCACACAGGTAAGACGGAAGTCTAGTCTTTGCTTGCATTTTTGGTATTTATATAGCTAATGTTTAAGGAGAAAATAAATAAATAACGTGTGTGTGTGTGTGTGTGTGTGTGTGTGTGTGTGTGTGTGTATGTGTGTGTGTGTGTGTAAAGGAAGACTAACATCAAACGAATCAGTGACCGGAAAAGGAAACCACAGCTGTCTTATATCATCATTATGCCATCGAAGCTTTTCGTGCACTTCTGTAATCCCAGAGCTTGAGAGGTGCAGACCTCCCAAGGATGATTAGGAGTTCAGCCTCAGCTATACAGCAAGTTTGAGGTTAGTCTGAGTTACATGAGACCCTGTCTCTTAAAAGGCTCTTAAGGAGTCAGAGCCCAGTGGTGGTGACACAGGCCCTTAATCCCAGCTCTCGAGAAGCAGAGGCACGCAGATCTCTAAATCCAGCCCTGGTGTTCATCGTGAGAGCCAGGCTACATAGTAAGAGCCTGTCTCAATAATAAAAATAATAATAATTTATAATAGTTATATATGATATTGATATTATTTTATTTGTAATGAGAGTTATCATAAATTGAATTTAAAAACTATTTTTAAACTTCCTCATTTTGAGTGTGGCACGCCTGCCACCACAGGAGGCAGTTCTCGCCTCCGTGTGTCCTGGGAACTAACTCGGGTTGTCAGGCTCGTAAAGTGCTCAGCAAGTCCTTTCCCTCCCTGAGCCGTTTCTCCGCTCTTACCGAGTGATCTCACTGGATCAGAGATGCCTTGGAGGGCCTGGAGAGAGGCCTTAGTGCCGTGCACATGTGATGGTCACAGCTCAGGTCTTCAGCCCCCAGGTAAATGCTGAGTGCTCACAGTGGCCTGCCTGTGGAGGCAGGTGGGACCCCTGGAGCCGGCCAGCTAACCGGACTAGCCAGGCTGAGGAGTTGTGGGCTCAGGGAGTGACCCTGGCTCAGTGTGTGTGATGGAGAGTGGCTGAGGAAATACGGAAGTGTCCGGCCTCCACACGCAAGCACACACCCGCACATGCTCGGGCCCGCAGACATACACAGCACCACACATACACATGCAAGAAAGAAAGAAAAATTCTTTTTAAGGTTTTTTGTTTGTTTGTTTGGGGTTTTGGGTTTGGTTTGGTTTTCCCATTGTGGTGGCATACTCCTTCAATCCCAACATTCAGAAAGCAGAGACAGGAGGATATTTGTAAATTGAAGGCTAGCCTGGTCTACATAGCAAGATCCAGACCAGCCAGGACTACATAGAGAGACCCGCTCTTAAACAAACAAGAACTTTGTTGTGTATTGAGTGTTTTGTCGGATGTCTGTGGGGACCAGAAGAGGGCATCAGATCCGGGAATTGGAATTATGGACACTTCTGAAGCATTGCGTTGGAGTTAGGAATCAAACCCAGGTCCTCTGAAGGAGCAGCCAGTACCCTTAACTGCTGGGCCATCTCCCCATCTTCTTTTCTACTTAATTATGCTGAAAGGGAGCAAAGTAGATGTTTTCTAAACCTAGGACTTACTGACAGATTAATACTCTGTTAGCCTAAATAGGCTAGAGAAGCTTACTCTTCAGACTTTTCACAGTACATTATCCAGATTTTGCCATCCTTTGTTGTTTAGATGTCTACAGATCTTCATTCGGCTGCGAAGTTATACAATATGTAGGTATTTTTTGTGACATGGCTCTTTTCCCATCTTAAAGCAACGGAATTTGAAAACTAGCATTTATCTGGCCCATGGCCCTATTAAATCATGTTTCAAGTTAGTCTCTGTTTTCTTTTCTGCCCTCTGCACCTCTTTGAACCACTGCTACAAAAATATCCAAATCTGGGCCAAAAAGATGGCTCAGCTAGGAAAGGTGCCTCTGGGCCTGAGGGACCTGAGTTGGTTTAATTTAGTTGGTTTGGTTTTAGGGGCTGTGTGTTTGTTTGTTATTTTTGAGACAGGGATTTTCTGTGTAGCCCTGGCTGTCCTCGAACTCACTCAGCCATGCTGGCCTGTGCCTCCTGATTGCTGGGATTAAAGGTGTGCATCAACACTACCCAGCTAAAAAAATATAGAACACTTTACAAATTTTCATGTGGCTCTTGAGCAGGGGACATGCTGATCTTCCAATTTAGCATATGTGCTGCAGAAGCGAGCACAAGGGCCCACGTGGGAGAGAGAACCAGCTCCTTCTACACAAACTGCCCTCTCACTCGCACACACGTCACAACATGTGGTCCTACCCCACACCACAAACAAGTACAGGGACATCAGACATCTCCACAGTCTGAGAAGCTGCTACTTTCTTCTTTAGGACCTCTGTGTTTTTAATTAAGAACTGTTTACATGGTGGGGCAGTAGACTAGTAAATTTTGAAATGATAGAAACTACCATCCACTCTACAGGAAAGAGCTCTCTAACCTTTGGTGTGTGGGAAAGAGAGCAGCCGTGTGCAGGCCGCCGCACATGTGGACGGTTAGGGGACAACTTAGGAGCTCAGGCTCTTCTCCTACCTGTTTTTGAGGCACAGTCTCTCCTGCTTCTGCCTACACTTTGCACATAAACTTCAAGCCAGCTAGTCTGTTTCCACCTCTTGTCTCGCCCTAAGCATGCGGAGCTTACAGGTGTCAGCCACCACATTAGCATGGCACGAGGATCGAGCTAAGGGCATCCAGCATCTAGCTTACATGGTGAGTTACCCATTGAGCCATCTTGCTAGCCCTAGAAAATGTATTTTTCAATGGACATAGTGGCCCACACCTGCAATCCCAGCACTCCGGAGGCAGAAGCAGGTGTATTTCTACGTTCAAGTCCAGCCTGGTCTACAGAGTGAGTTCCAAGACAGCCAGGACTACAAAATACAAAAAAAAAAAAAAAAAAAAAAAAGCTTGTGTATTCCATCCACAAAAATAACTGCTTGTAAAAGCAGAGTATGTGGGTGTGTCAAGAGTCACAAGTAAGCCAGGGCACTGGTTTTAATATGAAAGAGCAGAATTCAAGGAAAGATGTCTAATAAAACAACGCCTTTTATTTTTATACAGGAGACTCCCATACTGAAATATATTATCAGTCTTAGCTCTCAGAAACAGGGATTGTATCTATAAAACAAAAATGGTTAAGTGTACAAGAAAAAACTTGGCAAAAACTCCATTGTTGTGAGAAAATTTAGTGCCTTTGACTGGGCAAATATATTTTGGATCTAGAAACCAAGATTACATAATAACCTGGGGATTTGGTAGCTCTACTATCTTTCAAAACTTCTGTCCCATAGATCAGAAGACCTTCTGGGGAATATCAGATATATAAATACTTTAGGGTTTGCAGGCCACCTACTTGGTCGCAGCTGTTCGCCTCTGCCATGTAGCAGGGAAACAGCTGCCGGGAAGGCACAGATGCAGAATGAGCCTGCCCTGATTTCAATCAAGGGGCCTTATAGACACTGAAATCTAAATTTTTGTAATTTTCCACATTCAGAATTATTTTGGGTTTGTTTTCAACTACTGAACCATGTAACAAAGCAGCTGTGAAGATGGCTCAGTCGCTAAAATGCTGCTGTGCAAGTGTGAGAACCTGAGTTCAAATCCCCAGAACCCACCCAAAGCTGGCTGAAGTAAAGTCATCTGTAATTCCAGGACTCCTAAACCTAGATAGGATCAGAGACAGGAGAGTCCCTGGATGCTTATGAATCAGCTGGCTTGGCACACAAGCACTAAACCACAAAGAGAACCTGCTTCCGGCAGAAGATAAAGACGGACACAGGAGTTGTCCCCCGACCTCCATATGTACGTCTACACTCGTAAATCTGCACTTATGACACAAATGTGCAAACATAAGCACACAGTGTGAAACCAGCATCAGGACACAAGCTATACAAAAACAGGCAACAGGTAGGATATGGTCCGCAAGCTGCGGTTTACAGATTCTTGATATAGACAAAGGTCTGGCAAAACTCCCAGGCTCTAGCTAGGGGCTGGGGAAGTGGCTCAGTGAGCAACACAGTGTGCGCTGTGCAAGCAGGAGCACCTGAATTCAGATCTGAAGCACCCACACAAAAAGCTGCATGTGGCCCCTATAATCACTGTGCTAGGAAGTAGATACAGGGGGAGACAGCAGTGATCCATAGGTGACCCAGTGAAAACCCTAGTCTCAAAAAATGAGGAAATGAGGTAGAGTGCAATGGAAGACAGCATCCTGTCAGCCTCTGGCAGCCACATTTATGGGTTCTCACACATATGTGCATCAAAGGACTCTAGCCAGGGCTGGTCGTGCAGGCTCTGTATTCCTGGGTGCTAAAAGAGCTAAGCAGGGGTTAAGAGAACAGGCTGCTCTTCCACAGGACCCGGGTTTCATTCCTAGCACCCACGTGATGACTCGTATGTCTGTGGCTCTTCCAGGGGATGTGACAGTCTTCTGGCCACTGAACAAATGCCCAAGCACACACAGAGAGAATGAAAGCCACTGTTTTCATGTACAGGAATACAGGTAGTGCACAGACGTAGATGCAGAGGAAACACCCATGCAGATAAAAATAAATATATTAAAATTAAAAAAGAATCAGGAGCTGCTGCTGAATCAGGAGGAGCACAGGCTCAAGGCCTGCCTGGACTAGAGTGAATTCAAAGGCACTCTGAACAACTCAGTGAGACCCTGTCTCAACAAAAAGAGTGAAGCAGAGGCTGAAACTTAATAGACAAACTTTGGGCAGAGGACATGGAATTTTATGAAAGAAGGGGAAGATAGACCTGAGGAGCTCTACAAGGAGAGCAACAGAGCCAAAAAAAAAAAAAAAACAAACAAACACAAACCTGGGCACAGGGGCCCCTGCAGAGACTGATACTCCAACCAAGGACCATGCATGGAGAGGACCTAAAACCCCTGCTCAGATATAATCCATAGACTTAGTCTCCATTTGGGTGCCCTAGTAAGGGGAGAAGGGACTGTCTCTGACATGAACTCAGTGGCTGGCTCTGGGATCACCTCACCCTGAGTGAGGAGCAGCCTTACCAGGCCACAGAAGA